CCAGGTACAACTTGATAACCCCAAAAGGAAAATCAGCCTTGGTCAGATAGATAGTAACATTTGTGAACAGATGTAATATTTTGAGCCCTGTGAGCATTATAAGGAGTTGAGATTATACGAAAGAAGAACTACTTCAATTTTGTATTATAATCAAGAATAGGATAGATTAATATTAGAAATTTCTTAGAGGACAATAGGTTTGAGCTAGTTTTGAAGGGGAAAAAGTACATATTTGTGGAGAGGACTGAAGGAGAAGATAAGGGAACTAACCCTGTGATGTTGCTAGTAGTATCTCAATTTTACATGTAGGGCATTAAGGCTCAGAGAAGTTATGTAACTTTCCCAGAATCACACAGAAAATCAATGGACAAAGTCCAGATTCTAAGACGGGTCTGTTGATCTACTAAAAACATGTTCTTGCCATCTTTTTGGATTGCAGAAGTCATAATACAGAAAGCAACTAATAGTATTGGTTAGCTGGTAAGAGCATTTGTTTAACTTGTTGTTGTTGTTACGTGCCGTCAAGTTGGACCCAATTCATAGCAATACTGCCTCGGAAACCCAAGGAGGGGTTGCTATGAGTCATATCCAACTCGAGGGCAGTGGGTTTGCCTAACTAGCAAAAAAAAAAAAATCTATATTAAAACTAAAACATATGTAGTTAATATAATAAGCAAAGTGATAAGGTGGTAGAGAACCTTGAGGATAGACAGGGGTGTTTGATATAATAAGTCATAGAGACTTAGGCACTTAAGCAGAGGATTGTGATATATATTTTAAAAAAAGGAATTTAAGAATAATTGCTCTTGAAAAAAAAAAACCCAAACTCACTGCCGTCAGGTCAGATGCAACTCACAGCGACCCTTCCTTGGGTTTCTGAGGCAGTATCACTATGGAAGTAGATTGCCCAACCTTCCTTCTGAGGAGTGCCTGGTGGGTTTGAACCGCCAGCCTTCTGTTTAGCAGTCAAGTGCCTTAGGCATTACATCACCTGCATAAAATATAGGAAGACTGGAAGAAGATGTGGAGGAGGATATCATAGTGATATTATCAGCCTAAAGTACTGATGAACTATATTGGTGGCTAGGGACATAGAAAAGAGACCTACATGAAATGTGTGTGTGTATATGTGTGTGTATATCTCCAAACTCACTGCCGTCGAGTTGGTTCCGACTCATAACGACCCCTCCTTGGGTTTCCAAGGCAGTGGCATAGTGCCTAAGGCACTTGACTGCTAACCAGAAGGCTGGCGGTTCAAACCCACTAGGCACTCCTCAGAAGGAAGGTTGGGCAATCTACTTCCGTAGTGATACTGCCTCAGAAACCCAAGGAGGGGTCTCTATGAGTCAGGTCCGACTCGACGGCACATATCAGCAACAACAACATGTATATAAATCAGCACTGATGTAAAGCTGACAGAAGTGTAGTTATAAGTGATACTTAAGTTTCAAGCTTGGAGAAGAATAGTGGCATTTACAGGAAAACTTGTAAAGGGTATTTTGGGCAGTAGGGAATATTTTGCCAAAGTCTTATATTTCAGGTTTAGAATTACAGGCTGTAGGTTTGTGATATTCAAAGTATGCTCTATAGACTGGTCCATGACAAAGGAACTACAGAAATTATCAGGAAAGGGTGCTGTATTTTTTTGAATGCCTTTTCTACATCAGTTGAGATGACCATGTAGCTCTTTTCCTTTGTTCTATTGATAGGATGTATTACACTGACTGATTTTCTAATGTTGAACCAACTTTGCACTCCTAGAATAAATCCCATTTGTTCATAATTACGAAAAGGACGTGGGGGTGACATCTTCCTTTGACTTTCTCTAACTTCCCAAAAGGGAGAGAGAATCACCATCAGCAACCCAAGGCTGATAGTGATTCCTATGGGACCAGACAAAGCAACCCCCCACAAACTAAGCAATTCTGACACCAACTGCCCCTTCCACGGCATTCACTCCTTCTCTGCTGGGTTCGATAATTCGTCACAATGGCCACGCAGAACTTAGACCATACTCACAATTAAGACTCACAGTCTTCTCCCTGTTATGCCCTCAGGCACGTCTATCTAGCCATTGGCCTCTTGGCCTGGCCTCTGCCCTGCTCAAGCAAATGTTACAAAGCTCTTTTAGCTCTGCCGATAGGTCCACCTAGGTTCACCCCACTCCACTAGCAAGACTTCTGCCCAAAGACACTCAACTATCTCTCTCAGTGGGCTGGCAAGTCTGCCACTCTGTCTCATGCTTCATGCTCCCACTGCCACTATCTCTGTGCCATCTCTCTTCCTTCTCTCTGCCAACTCTCTTTTGCCTCAGTGTGGAGATTTTGGGTCCAAGGACGTGTTTCACTCCACCTCTTCTCTCTTGATGGCAATGAGATTCCCCCCTTCTGCTTCTAAGGGGGCTCATTTTAACCCAGCAGAACAACCAAACTAACCAATTCCTGCATTAGAGTTCTATACACCTTATTTCCATGGTTCCATTCCCACAAGGGTGTCATGTACCTTGCTTACATTACTAACAAGCTATCTAACCACCTTGGTAGGGCACAACAACTTATATTTGCATAGTTCCACCCAGTCATCTGGTGGTGGTCACAAAGACCATGGCTAGAAGAATCATAATAAGTAACTCACTATACCACAGGTCACCCCCTGGCTCTTCTAGCCACTGTCTCTTTCATGCTTCAAAGATTAATATCACAATCAGTTTAAATGTAAGCACACCCACTTAAATACAAGCTAGCCACTTCATGTTTTTTTTATCTCCCCCCATTTTAGTTATCCAATTTCTAAATTGCCTGTCCCTATCAAACCATACTCTGAGGAGACAAGTATGTTCCTTTTTCTCTGAAGAATCTTCTGTTCTGGTTGCAACTTCAGCATCTGCATCCATAAGTAAAGTCCAGTCCAGAGCAAGCCATCAAAGTTCAGCAATCTGCACTAGCTTAGTGTCAAACATCTTCCTCTTTATTCAGTGGAGTTCTAGTCAGCTCAGCCCGAGTCACCCAAGCCAGGTCATGGGTATTAGCTGCAAGCTTGGGAGTTCACACTCCTCCTTGCACTTCAACCAGCCAGCCACCTCTCTTTTTCATCCCTAGCTCCAATGGGCTAGTTCAATACTGTAGGCTCAGGAGTCCACACAACTACGTGCCCTTCAGTAATGTATAACTCTTTTAATATGCTGTTGGATTCTGTTTGCTAGTATTTGGCTAAAATTTTGGTGTCTACATTCATAAGAGATATTGGTCTGTAGTTTTTTGCTTTTTTTTTTTTTTTCTTGTAGTGTTTTTGTGGTTTTGGTACCAGGGTAATGCTGGCTCCATAGAAAGAGGGAGTATTCTTTCTCCTTCCTCTATTTTTTAGAAAAGTTTGAACTGGATTGGTGTCAATTCTTCTGTAAATGTATGATAGAATTCCCTAGTGAAGCTGGCTGGTCCTGGACTTTTCTTTGTTGGGAGGTTTTTTTTTATTACTGATTCAATCTCTTTGCTCGTTGTGGTAGTTAAGGTTATATGTCAACTTGGCTGGGCCTGGTTTTGAGTGGCTGGGCAGCTGATGGTAGTTATTCCCCACAATGAGACTGACAATCAACTCCATGGTGGAATCAGCCTCGATCAACCGAGTAGCTGCTTTAGGGATGTGGTCTGCTTCCTATTTATAAAGAAAAACTTGGGGAATGGTCTACAGCTTTCTGGCATGCTTGGGCCCTACATGTATGTGAGTCTTCATTCAGCACTCTGCCATGCTCTGCTGATCTTGAGACTTTTAATGGACTTGAATCAATGGCCTGCCATGTGATTTGGCAATGTTGGGACTGTGCCTTTTCACTGTCAACACTGGGTTTGTCAGCCTCAGCAGCCAGCAGATACCAGAGTGAAGAGATGCCTCTAGCTTCAGTGGGCCAGGAGCAAGAGGCAGAGCTGAAGTCCCAGGTCGAGGGACTTTCACCCAGCCCTTACAGCTTGGCACTTTGAATGCAGACTTCTAGCCTCCAAAATTGTAAGAGAATAAACTCTTGTTTAATAAACTCCTATTGTTAAAGCCACCCCATTTGTGGTATATTCCTGTCAGAGCGGCACTTGGAGCCTAAGGCATTTGACTGCTAACCAGAAGACTGACGGTTCAAACTCACCACCCACTCCTTGGAAGAGAGACTGGGCAATCTACTTCCATAGAGACAACTGCCTCAGAAACCCAAGAAGGGGGTTGCTATGAGGTGGAATCGACTTGATGGCAGTGAGTGGTTTATTTTTTTTTCTGGTTCTGAGTATGTTTAGCCAGGTTATGTGAGGAACAACAGACATTAGAAGTAAATGTAAATGTGTAGAAACTTTTATATCAATTTGATAGAATAATTTTACATATATTGAATCTAATAATAAATATTGAGGTTTACATTTTGTTTTATAATTTTTCTAGCAATTCATTTTTATTGTGTTTTATAAAGTTATCAATCCACAGAAGATTGGAAACGAAAAAAAAAAAATGTCACCCCATGTCATTTGAGAAACAGCACTACAGACAATAAAAGATATGAAAGAAGAGTGAGGATGAGAAGTCAAGGTTAAAGATGTAGCTCAAGAATATTTTTTTGGCCTCCCATACTCCAAGGCAAATTCAGAGCATCTTCCTCCTATGTTCACTGTACTGAACATTATAACAAATGCAAAAGTGAATATAACACAGATCTCAGCCTCATGGAACTTGCAGACCAATACATGCATTATATAAATATCAAAATATGAGACAGAGAGTGAAAAATGCCATTAAAATGAAAGCACATGACCATAACATGATGATTTTGTAGTCATCATACAGCGGAGGAAATAATAAGACATTTTGAAGGCATTTTATACAGCATACATGTAAAACCTTGTATGTATGCTAACTATAACAACTGTTTATTTACACATCTGTCTTTCTACCAACATTAAACCTTCTTGAAGAAAGCAACTGCTTCTTTAAACTTCATTAACATCCATGACTATGATTAAAAAAAAAAAAACAGTTGCCACAAATCCAACTCACGATGAACCCATGGGCATCAGAATAGAACTGTGCTCCATAGGGTTTTCACTGCCTGATTTTCAGAAGTAGACTGCCAGGTCTTTCTTCTGAGGCACCTCTGAGTCGATTTGAACCTCTAACCGTATGATTAGCAGCCAAGCCTGTTAACCATTTGCACCACCCAGGGACTCCAGGTTTATGACAGTGTCTGATACAGAGTAGGTATGTAAATGGTTGTACACTGAGAAGTATAGCCTAAGACTGAGTCTTAGTAATGCCATCTAGACTGAAAAAGATAATGACAAACTTATTAGGGGATTACATTTAGAAACCAAAAGATAATTCTGAAGACATTTCTATTAGTATAGAATAGCTATTTCTACTGGCTTCATTTTAATATAAAAAATGCAAATGTAATTGATTATGTCTTATAATTTGAATTTCTCAACTATTCTTACCAAAGCTCTCAGCTTGGAAAAGTAGATCATTGCTGTAGTCTTCTCTAAGTGTGATTTCTTCTGGTCTACTCTGGTTCTGAGTAAAATGCTCTGAAACATCAACAGCACTATGGAAAAATATAAGTTTGAAAAAAACATGTTACCATAACACAATGCTTTTATAGTATACTGTGTGTGTGGAGGGGGTACTTAAAACAAAAGATAACTTTTATTATAAGAATAAGGATGTTTTTATTTTTTTTAATAGCCTCCAAACCAAACCAAACTCATTGCCATTGAATCAATCAGCTCATAATGACCCCCATTGGGTTTCCAAGGCTGTAAATCTTTACAGAAGTAGATTGCCTCATCTTTCTTCCTCCTCTAGAGCAGCTGGTGGATTTGAACCACTGACCTTCCGGTTAGCAGCCAAATGCCTTATCTACTATGCCACCAGAGCTCCTTTTTCTTCAACAGTACTATTAATACAAAACTAGCTTATAAATATACATACAGCACGCACACAAACACACACACACACACACACACAGCATGTAATATCAATGATCTTCAGATTGTCAAATATAATGGTCAATTCTCAGTCTTTATCTTACTTGCCCTAACCAACAGCATTTGAAATAGATGTTCACTCCCTCATGAAACACATTCTTTACTAGGCCTCTAGGATATTACTCTTTCTTGATTTTCTTCCTACCACATTGGCTGCTCCTTTTCCACCTCTTTTACTAGTTCTTCCTCATCCCCCACACTACTAACTATTGAGAATGACCCAACAATCAGTCCTCAGACTACACTCCCTCTCTTTGAAATCTACACTCACTCCCTTGGGCTTTCTTAAGGTCTGTGATTGAAATTTATCTATATACTTACAAACCCAAAATTGATACACCCAGTCCAGATTTCTCTCTTGAAATTCAGACCCAGCTGTCCAACTGCCTACTTACATCTTACTGGATGTGTAATAACCATCTCAGACCAAAACCAAAACCAAACTTGTTGCCATGGAGTCGATTCTGACTCACAGTGACCTTATGTAACAATAGAACTGCCCCACAGCATTTCCAAAACTATAATCTTTACAGAAGCAGACTGTCACATCTTTCTACCTTTCTCCTGTGGAGCCACTAGTGAGTTCAAACCACTGACCTTTTGGTTAGCAGTCAGGTGCTTAACACTGAACCACCAGGGCTTGGTGTCATCTCAGAATTTATGTCCCAAATCTAATTTACTTCCTTCACTCTGCTTCATTATTTCCTAGTTATCCTAATCTTCTTAAGTGCTGACACGATTCTTAAGTCAAAAATCACAGTCATCTTTCATCTTGCTTTCTCTCTGAGCTTTCTCTCTGAGCCTTATCTCATCCATCAGCAAATCATGTTGGCTCTGCCTTCAAAATATATCCGTAATTTCAGTGCTACCGCCCTGATAAGAAGAGGACTGAGAAATGATCACGGGCACTGCCGTCTCTCATCTGCCTTTTTCACTGCAATAGTCTCCTTGTAGGTTTTTTGCATCCTCCCTTGCTCTCCCAGAGGCAAAGTGTTGAAATCAAGTCAGGTCTTGTCATTCCTCTTTCAAAACTCTCTTATGCTCCCCATCTGGCTAAATAAAAGTTCTCACTGTATTCTACAACACCCTACATCATCGGCGCAGCCCGCCAGCTCTCTGACTTCATATGCTGCCACTCTGTCCCTCATTCATTCCACTCTAGTCTCACTTGCCTCCACGTTGTTCTTTAAAAAGGTCCAATGTGCTCTGCCTTAGGACCTTTTCGCTTGCTTTACCCAGAACATTCTTTCCTACATGAAACCATATCTGAATGGTTTGCTTCTCCACTTCCTTCAGGTTTCTATTCTTATCTTATCAGAAAAGCTTTTCTTGACTATCCTATATAAAACAGTGCTTGCTTCTTATCATTTTATTCCTTCTTACTCTATTTTACATTATTTATTTATTTATTTATTTTTCACATTTTCTATTTTCCTTCATGATGCTGATCACCTCCTGGCATGTTATATATTTATTTGTTTGTTATCTGTCTATCTCAACAAGAATGTAAGATCCATGAGGGAAGGAGCTGTGTTTCATTCATTGTTGTCTTCTCAGTGCCTAGAACAATGTCTGGCATATGGAAGACACCTAATAAGTATTTATGGAATGAATGGATGAATATATTGTCACTATTGCAAACTACATTCAGTAAATGTAATGATACTTTTTTTTGTATTGTACTTTGGAATTTCACACTAAAGTCTCTGCCAACTGTATGTATACTTGTTCAGTTGTTAACCACATTCCATTTGTCTTCATGAAATCTGAATATAAACCAATAAACTATAAGAATATCAAGACTGATAGAAAATAAAATAACTTACTTCGCATTCTGCATGTCAAAATCATGAAATTCTTCTGGCAATGTGATAGCACTGTAAGCTGCTTCAAAATTCTCTTTTGGAAGGTCAACTAGTCCTGAAAGAAATTAAACATATTTAATAAGCAATGATGCTATGTAAAATAAGAAACTACAAACTCTCTGTTTTCTTTCACTAGCCTACTGCTTAGCCTCCCAACTGTTTCTCTGTATCCACTAGTGCCTCTCTGCAGTCCATTCTCTACAAATCAGCCTGAGCAATATGTTTAAAAAGCAAATCAGATTAGTTCACTTCTATTCTTAAAATATGGTTCAGTGACTTCAATTAAATTTAAATAAAATCCAAGTTTCTAATAAGAACCTCTGCAACCCTACCTATCAGGTATCATCTAATGGCACTCTCACTCAATATGCTCCAACCACACTGGCCTTTGTGTTCCCTGAACAGATCAAACACTTCTACCTCAAGACCTTTGCTCTTGCAGTTTCCTTTGCTCAGAATGTTATTCTCTCAGAGACTTTTATATAGCTGGCTGCTTCTCATTCTTCAAGCCTGAGCTTAAACTCTCCTTGGGAAGACTTTTTCAAACTATCCTAACTAAAGTGAATTTCTGTTATTTTCTATTTAGTGCTCTATTTCCTTTCAATAGTATAATCACAGTCTATAACTATTTTAATACATTTTTTAAAATTTATTACCTGATTCCCTCATCAGACTGAAAAGGATCTTATTTGGCTTGTTGTCTTTGTATCCCACAGCCTAACATAATGTTTGGCACCGAGAATGGGATCAAAACTATTTGTGGAATATATAAATGAGGCAATAATAAAAAAGAACAAATGAATCATACTTGATATGAGTATAAACATACCTAGAAATTCTACAAATATTTTAAACAAAGAGGGAGAAAAAAAAAAAGACATCTGTCCATCCTGATTCAACAAATATTAATTGAGGGAATAGTATGTATAAGGCACTGAGGCAGAGATTCAGAAATTGAGAGAATGACTATGACAAAGACTTTGCCTTAAAGAAACTTGCAGACTTGTGAGAGAAACAAGGCCTTATCTAAATAACCATAATACAAGTTACAAAATGATGACTATCTTAAAAAGGGAACAGATTCAATGTAAAGTAACACTTGAAGCCATTATATTTATGACACACATAAATCTTTAACACCTTGGAATGCCTAGGGATTTTCTATAATAATTCATAAATAGCATGGTAGTTAGAGTCAAAAAACAGATACAGCAAGCTAACCAACCACAAAACAGCACTGTTGCCGCAGAGTCCATTTGATTCACAGTGACCCTACAGGACAGGGCAGAACTGCTCTATAGCATTCCAAGACTGCAGTCTTTGTGGAAGCAGACTGCTACATCTTCTGTAGGAGCTCTGGTAGCGTAGTGCCTAAGGCACTTGACTGCTAACCAGAAGGCTGGCAGTTCAAACCCACTAGCTACTCCTTGGAAGGAAGGTTGGGCAATCTACTTCTGTAG